CGCAATTGCGTTAATCTTTATATATAGGAAGCCGAATAAATCCTTTATATTAAATATATAACGAACGTCGGCGAGCTTATTAATAATTTCTTAATTAAAAAACGCAATAATTTTATTTATATCCTCCGGGATATTGCAATCCTTTAAATTAAATTTATTAATATTATATAATTAAGTATCCTATTTCTCTTTAAAAATACCGATTATAATATCGCTAAACGAACGACGTTTAAAAATATCGTTTTACTAAATAATTGTATTAAAAATAATAAGTACATCTATAATATCGAATTTAATTTATTCGACCGCGAACTTATCGGATATATTCTTCCTTTAAACTTCATTTATTTAAACGCTTTCAATAATAAATAGCTTAACGGTCTTAGCCGCGGTAGTTTTTTCGTTAAGGGTATACGCTATCGTAATTAATTATAAGGATATATATTATAATTACTTCAATCGGTAAATAGGTTTAGGATATTTAAATACTTCCCTAATATATTAAGGATAATTTTGTAATTATTACGAACGACGTAGTTACGAGAGATAAGCTTAATACGTTAAATTTAAATTTATTATAGAATTATAAAATAAAAAAGAAAAGAAGAAAACGAGTAAAGGGCGCGCCCCGCGCTAAGGTTTATACCTGGGCGCGGGCGACCCGCGAAGGTAACACGTAGTCACGTACACTAGTGCGGTCGACCTCTATTAGGGTAACCGCCTAAGCGATAACCGGTCCGCTAGATAGGGACCCTATCCGCTAGCGCCGTGACAGCTATTATGAATTTATAATAGGTATATTGGGTCGTTAACGTTATAGTATAAATCCTTACTATTATTTATTTTTTAAAAATACTTTTCGAAGGTAGGTTGGCGCTATTTACCCTTTAATCCTTTTACCCTATTTTCTAATAATTTCTTCCAAATTTACTATTTATTTTTGACCTTTTGAAATTCCTTTTTTTATAATTCGTTAATTACCTTTAATTATTTCTCCCTTTCTTTCTTCTTCTCTTCCTCTTTTCGAAGGTCCTTTATATAATAAATCTTTTTAATAAATATATTATTAATATATTCGCCGTTAGGTTTTATAGTATATTTGCATTTTTTTTTGGTATTAAAAACTTCGAATCGTAATGCCTTATCCAATACGTACTTATCGAGATGCTCTTTAGTAAGTAAACCTTCGTTAACGGCTACTTCAATAATATTTATAATTTTAATAATATTTTTATTAATAGTATAATTCTCTAAATATTATTTTATTAGCGTTAAATTCTTTTTAGTAATTGATTAATAGTTTAGATCCAATAGTATTTTTAGGTAGAATATAGGGTTATCCTTTTTAGTCTTATTTTCGAATCTTTTTATAATTTTAGCGGGGTTGAATAGCTATATACTAATATTTTCGAATCCTTTTATTATATTGCGCGTAATAAATACAATATCCTACGTATTTTATTATTATTATATAAATTATTAATTAATTAATTAAATTAATAGCGATCGAACTAAATTAGACCTTATTTATAAAGTATAGGTATAATTTTAATAGGAGAGATTTAACTAATTACGTCGGATATAATCCTTTAATACTTTTTAATAAATAGCTTTTAATTATTGGAATATACTAATATTTATAGGTTAAAGAAAGTAGGAAGAGTATAAGGGTATAAAAACGAATTCGATATTAAAACGTAGATAATATTTATATAATTCGTATAAATAGTATTTAAAAAAGGAATCTATAATTAATAACCGATAAATCTTTTTATTAGTAAGGGTGCTATTGCATTTTTTTCCTCGAAAATCGTTATTATAAGGTTAATTAATATTATAAATATAGGTAAGGATTATAGTAACGTTTATATTAATAAACTCTTCTATTTCGAAATCTTATTCTTTTTCCTCTTTTTCATCGATATTATCTATAGTAAATTCTATTTTAAAAATATTAAATTACCTCTTAAAAGTTTTATCCCCCTTATTTACTTATTTGCGTTTTTAAATTTCGATATAATATTTCTAAGAATATTTATTAAAATATTGGATTTATTCTATTATCATTTCGTTATTACTAAATATAGTATTATTTTGCGTAAAATATACGTTTCTTTCGAGGTTATTATTTATTATATCTTCTATTAGCTATTTTTTGAACGTTTTATTAAGGTAAGCCTTAATATCGATATTAATAAATACGAATTTTATACGAAACGTATAAAATATTTTAACTTTATTATAATACCGGGAGGTATTAAAATAAATTTAAATAAAATTAAAGCCGTTTTCGAATAAATACCGCTATAATTTAAAAAGTCTTTATAATAATTCCTAAATTTCGTAAACTTTTACCGTTAGTTTATAAAAAACTTTTTAATAATAGCTTTACCCTTATATAAATTAATAAAGAAGGATATATTATAATCGTAGTCCGACCGCTACTAATCCGCGTTTAAAATTTTAAAAAAAAAATAGCGAAGAGGGGTAGGTAATTATTAATACTATTACTACTATTAACGAAGGTAATAGATTTACAATTCGCGAAGTCGAATATTTCTATTTATTTTTATTATAATAAATTAATGGTAAATTACTATTCTAATATTATATTTAATCTTTACTAACGGTATTAATTTGCCTTAATTTTATATTTACGCTTAATTATTAATATTTCCAAATTCTCCGCTATTATTATAATACGATAATTATATTTATTCGCGTTCTATATTATTAATACAATAATATTACAATTCGATACAATAATTTCGAATTTTTTAAAATATAACGTTATATTTGCGATTTATTATTTAATTAATAACTATTTTATATTAATAGGCTTTATTTTAATAAGGTTAAATTATAAATAATTAATTTTCTAAAGTCGAAATTAGTATTAATTAATTAGTAGCGTTAAAAATATACGACGTAATTATATAAAATTAGTAATTTCTTCGAGTAAATCCTTACCCGCTAAGGCTTTAAATTCGATTAATTAATATATATATACTTCGAATACTTTATCTTTATTATAATTGAGCGTAATTGGTCTCTTTTTATTATTAATAATTTAAAGAAGAATTTTACGTTCTTTAAAGGATTTGAAATAACGGTTAACCGTATTCTTAAAATAATAGAACTTCTTCGCTACATTTTAAATATTCGGCTCTTTATCCTTCTTCTAGTCTTTTTTATTAGAATTTGTATTATTTATAGACGGGTTACCCAATATTGTATATAGTATTAGGATTGGGCATTTTAAAGCTACCGAACGGTATAGGCGGTAATAAGCTCCCCCTATTCGTCGGTTATACTTAAATATTAAAGGGAGACGTTACGATGTTAATAAAAGTATTAAATACGAATTAGGGTGCGGATAGGGGTATTATTGTAGAGAGAATTGGTCTATGGATATTATATTATGGCTATTTGTATGGCGGTTTACTAATAAAAAAATATGGTGTGATATTTAGGTATTGTCCCAGATTTATTGCTGTCCTAGAATTTTTATGCCCACTCTTTGTAAGAGAGTGGGTGTTGCTTGGCCATACAGATTACATAAGCCAACCTCACACCCACGGGTATTTAGCAATGATCAGTTTGGTTGCTGCCCAGACGACTTTTTTTCCCTCAGATTTTGTGGGAATTTACGTTGACGAATACCAACAAAGTAAGTGCTGCGGGAAGCGAACTTCATTTCGTATCGTACTGACCTGTTCCAACAAGCTACTTCCTCAACGTGCTCTTCTGGTAGTTTCTTCAGTATCTGGAGGGATTTATTCGCCCAATGTTGTGAAGATTTGTTTGACTGTCCGATTATGACGGACTGTGTGGACAACACAGGGTATCTCAGGTCAGATACAACTGTACCCTGGTATCCTCACTTCAACTTTGGGTGACGGCCACGGTTTATATGTAACCTTCACATTTGCCAATTCAAAGCTAACACCTTTGTTTCATCTTCGCAGCCCATCAGACTCTTCAAACTGCGCCACAATGACAATCTTGGACAGATTCCCACTGGCTTCTCAGTACTGGTTGAGCATAGGATGCGCTAATCCTGACTTCCAGGAAGACACGTTATACCGTGCGATTGATGCGTCCACCACCGAGGTTTCAACTAGCCTGGCTACCAGTACCTCTCAACTACCTGCTTCCACGTCCACAGAGTCCTTCACGGAGCCCTCAGATATACCACCGACCGTTATAATACTTTCCAGTTCCCCACAATCCAAGGCGTGGATCGCAGGCCCTATCAGCGGAGGCATCGCTGTCTTAATTGTGCTGGGCGCCTTGTTTTGCTGGTGTCTTCGGCGAAACAAAAAGAACAGGGCAATGAGCGAAGAAAAGAATGCAAACGCGAACAACGAGGGAACCAGCAATGGGCTCATGACTCAACCGGAACACGTACCAGGGCCCGGCTTCGTAGGCTACTCCCCACCTCCAGGCCCCAACACCTTACATCAACAATCACCAACTATCCAGTACTCGCCCTACTACCCTGGTCCGAACCCGCCGCAATACCAAAACCAACCGCAATCGGCGCTGCCCGATACCATAATGCCGAACATCATGACTGGTTGGGAGGGGTATGGACGACCTGAACCCACTGGAGCGGTGTCTGAGTTGCATTCCGAGACTGCGACGGCAAAGAATCAGCAAGACGTGCCTGTGATTCTGGAGGCTCCTGCTCGTGAACAGCAGGGTTAAAAGAGGGCAAGGGCACCACGGATAGAAACAGTTATAGCAGACGCTCATATTACAATAGCTTAGATAGAGAACGATTCTAGGACGATTAGTCGAGACTGAATGAACCAAGAGCTAGCATCTGAGGGAAATGCAAGTGTGATGACCGAAGAGTGGCTGTCGATGGCGAAATTTCGAGAAGAGAGAAGACCAGACAAGTAAATATCCCGAAGTTCTAAAACAAAAAGCTGAGAGGAAACAGAAACCGAACAAAAAGGGTTGCAGAAAAAAAACAAATAAAAGAGGACGTGATGTGCCCCGTAACGGACTCGAACCGTTGTCTTCCTGCGCACGCATGCAGACGAGCATCTAAGTCTCGCCAGGTATGTTACCAATTACACCAACGAGTCCCACCACGGGAGAAGGACTCAAAGACCTGACTTAAGTACCCCGAAGGGATTGAGAGTTGGGATGAAGAATAGGTGGAAGGTGCGGGCACCGGCGTGCGGGCGGAAGGTGCGATAAAGCCCGGGTGGCCGGGTCCGAGGGAGTCCGTGCCCATCCGCCACTCCGACCGCTTGGTGTTTCGACATCGACACTCGATGTCCACAGGTTATTCAAGATCTTTCTAGGCACCTTCAACATGAAAAATAACGAGAGAGAGAAGGAACCATGTCGAGACCCCGGGTAAAGGAGGGGTTATGTATATACTTGTAAGTGATAAGCTTGGTACCTGCTATCGATAAGCGAATACGTTATTTGATTGGTTCGATAAGAGTTATTAACTCCTCTTATCGCACATGTCGGCTCCATTCTACACGACATCACTGTCTTCCACTTCCCATCAATGCTTGTTTTCCCTCCGTCAACTCCCACCACGTCAACCCGAATACCCCCCAATTTGGATGTAGCCGATTACTTCTCCATGACCAAGCCAACGATCCGATCTTTTCTACCATGTCTTGTTCATGAACCGTTGATCTGATACGTTCCATGCCGTGGTTGCCCTCTCGTCATCCCTGTCGCCGCCGCCAGCTCCCGAGACCTCGTTCAACCAGCGCCAGAAACAAGTCAAGTCGGGACTTCGACTTGCTTGAACTTGATTGAGTGGGTCAAGTCAACACCCAGACTTGCTTGAACTTGACTTGAATTGCCGACTTGACCAAACTTGCCAAGAAAAAATTTATTAGCATTTATAGTAGGGTATTTGGCTTAGCATTTGAGGTATCGGGTGGGTCAACATTTGAAGCATCGGGTGGGTTAATTTTTAAGGGTATTTTACCAGCTATAACCCTAACCCTAGGATAGTCAAGTTTCCTCAAGTCAAGTCTGGACAACGACTTGACTTGATCAATTCAAGTCGGGACCTCAACTTGCTTGCTTGCTTGCTTGAACTTGATTGAACTTGACCAGTAAACTTGACTTGTTTCTGGCGCTGCGTTCAACTTCCACCATGCGACCGGGAGATCACCGCTTCTCGACACGCGCTCGGTCCGACGACATTGAGACCCCGACGCTACCCTCATTAACCTTCTCAGGAGTTTGGATCATGAAGTCCGCACCCTTGAACTTCGGCCGGCTATATAGTTCCGCTTGCTACCCCGGGTTCCTTATTGGGACTACCCTCTCCGGATAGCTATCACCGGGAGCAATAGATCCCAAGAATCCAGATTTGAAGCAAACATTTGCTAACACCGACCAGATAAGGCTCTGCGACTCTGTAGTCAAAAGAATCCGATATGGAAGAGCTGAAAAATTGACCAAGCAGGCTACGAAGCCACGTCGGCCTCATTGGTTCATAAGATGGTAGCCTGCATGCTGCCGTCAGAATCATATCGTTGTCGGTCGGCCACATTTTGTTTGGAAAGGCTGGAACGTCGGGTCCCGGCAGCCATATTTGCAGCCTGCCGCATGGCCTAGAGTCTGAGTAGGAGCTGCTCGAACAGCGGTTCAACAACAGGCAAGTTCCTGGTTGTGAAGATGAGGGAGTGCGGCCCAAGGATTTTGGATCTCGAACCATGGGGTGTCGTGTTGTCGTTCCGGCCGTGGTTACACAACAGCCTTTGGTATCAGCTTTGCTTACAATGGAGGAGTGGACGGGCAGGCTATCAGTAGGCCTGAATGCTTGAACTCGGGGATAATGAGTAGTGTCAAGCCCGGAGCCGTGATCCCTTCGGATCCCTTTTACTTTTCCCTTTTTCTCCAACTTCTTCATCTTCTTCTCTTCCTTTTCCACGGAGCCCTAACACACTTTGTGAGATCTCTTGTCCCACAGAGGCCACCTACTGGTCCCTTTTTATGCGATTGACGTGACAGTTACAACATCACCGTTGAGGCAAACGAAGACCACCACTATGACTTTCACGGTAGGCAAGACTAGCCTGCATCGCGTCATCCTTCTGGGGTTGAGTTGGTCTATGATGGCCAGGAGTGCCACCGGTCAAACCACCTTCTTCCCAAACTATGAAGGCGTATACATTCCTGTCACAGGGCCCGGTCAGTCGCATCTCCCCTCTTCGTGTTCTACCACAGGTCTAACGTGCATATCCTAAAGCCTCGACGGTGTACTGTGGATCTCCGTTCATTTTTACCACCTCTGGTAAATGGGCCGGCTGTTGGTATCAGGATGACCCTCAATATTGGTTTGCTACCAAGTGCAATGCCGGTACTGTGAGTGGAGCAGACGGGAACACAGAGGCGTGGTAGGTTGATGATGCTGAATTCTAGACGAGAGAGCAAAATCGTTGAGGAGAGAATTTGACCATTTTCTCATCTAGTCCCTCCGCAGCTCCGAATTGTTACACCATGACTATCTTCGATCACTACCCTTCGCCCAGCCAGAGCTGGATTGAGGTAGGGTGCGCTGGGGTATGGAACGCATACACTATTTACCGCGAAGTGGAAGCATCTACAACTTCAACAAGCAGTACCTCGACGACAACTTCAACAAGCAGTACCTCGACGATTCTGTCGTCAACTTCTACCTCTGGGCCAACCGCCACGTCAGCCGTTCCTACATCTACCAGCAGCCCACCGCCGCCTCCTCCTACCGCCACCGAAGACCCGAAACCTTCGACATCCAAAGCCTGGATTGCCGGACCTGTCGCCGGAGGCGTTGCCGCCTTGATATTGCTGGGCGCACTGTTCTTTTGGTGGCGTGGGAGGAAAAACCGACAAAACAGCGCGGAAACACCTTCAATGGCACAGACTGACGCACCCGGCGGATACCAGCCAGAGTATGTCGGCGGCAATCCCCATGCTAACAATGACACTCCACACCTGCATGACCCTTCCACTTCTAGCCCACCCCCTGTCTCGTCTGCGACATACTATCCCCCGAGCGGTCCTCCACACTATGGTACGAACTCGCCAGGGTTACAGGATGCTTCCAATGCTTCGCAGTACACCTATCCTATTTCTGGTACGCCGAACACAATGTCATGGCAAGGGTCGCCGAGACCGGTGTCGGAACAAGATCCCGCGGGGATGCAGTACAAACATACAGTTGTTGAGGCTCCATGAGGTCACTCTGGGAAGCCAATTGGAACGGGGAGTGACAGGCCGAATTCTTTTTTCTAAAATAATAGCGAGAGGTAATGAGCAAAGGGCAGATCGGTCGTCAAGATGGGCACGGTCTAATGTCTTCTATAGTAGGAGCACAAATGTTAGGTAATTGACCCACTGATATCGAGGTTCTTCCTTGTCCTTAATCCTGTCTTCCACTTCTCGTCGTGGCATGGCTTATGAACATTCCCAATGACGCGTCCTCGCAGCGAACAAGCCATCCTCAATCCTCATATATTTTCCGCCGAATTGTCCAGATGCAGCTTCCAAGCACACCTAGCTCGTACCTCCTCCGCCGCCATTCCCACCCCTTCCACCCTCTCCACCCCTTCCACCCCTTCCACCCCCTCCTCCTCCTCTATTCCCCCCATCAGCAGCAGCAGCAGCATCACCAGCAGCATCAACCCCTCCAACCTCCCTACCATCTAATTCCACCTGCGCACCCTCTCCCATACCCCTTCCCCAACCTGCACGACGCTCCGCAATCTGCCATGGAGCTTCACCTCTCTCCTCCGCCTCTTGCCACCGAAGTCTGTCCCTCTCGGCATCAGGTGAGAGGAGGTTTCGTGCAGGTACTACTCGGTTGACGTCGCGTTTTGGACGCCCACGTCCACCACCACCACTTTGGGCTGATGTGTCTGGTGGTGGTGGTGGTTGTGCTGCTGCTGCTGCTGCTGGTGGTTGTGGTGGTGGTTGTGGTGGTTGTGGTGGTTGTGATGGTTGTGGTGCCTCAACGTCACCCGCGGCACCTTGTTTTTTGTTCTTGTGGGAACGTTTTCGACGACCCCACCATATCTTGAAGCCGAAGCAGAGAGCGAAGATGAGGACGAGGCCGAGGGAGAGGGCGATGATTTCGCCTGTGGGCCAGGTGTTGGTTGTCATTGGGGGTGCTGGTGCATGGAGGCCTTGGTGGTGGTGGCCGGCTTGGGCGGGTTGGGCGAGAGGATGGTTGTCGTTTGGAGGAGTCCGACAGGTAAAGTCTTCTGCTGACATGTTAGCACCCTAATAACACCAGCAACGCAGGAAGTCAACATACCGCGATCTCTTCCAAATCAACCTTATCACTTGGCTATTCCCCCAAGCAGACAGTAAATTACAGGGTACTCCCAATGACGGACATTTTCCCAATGGGCTCTCTTCCTCCTATATACCAGCCTATGATACCCCAGCCGGGCTATTTCGAGTGGCTGCCCACGGTTCACAAGCTATTCACAGCCATTCTCAAAGACAGCGGCCATCCTAGGACAAGCGGATAGACTGTAGGACGAGTGGATTTACGTGTCCTTCTCGAAGTACGAATACCTCCAGAGTTAAGGTTGTACGGGGTGGACATCGGAGTTACGTCAACCGTTGCCGTGGAACGTGGGACGGAGGTCGGGGGAGTTGTTTCAGACGGGTAGAAGGTTGATGGGGGATGCCAGCGCATTTGCGGGGATGGAAAAGGGAGTGGAAGGACACAGGGTGGAGAGGATCTTGGGTATCGTGGTCTGGTGCTTTGCCGGGTACGTGTTCCATTTATGCATCCCCCAATGTCCATGATGATGATTTCATCCTCCTCGCCAGGGACAGCCACAAAGACCCAAGCCACATCACTACCCCTAGTCTACCAAGCACCATCACTCAACCTCATAAACAAGCGACCTCGGCAACCCAACTTCCACACCCTTTGGATCCCCAGCTCTTTTACTTTCCCTCGACTCCAACTCGAACACCGGCACCGACACCGGCACCGGCAACATGAACCATGAAGAACAGCCTGGTAATTCTGCAACCTGCTCATCAGTTCCTTTGGATGACATGGAGTGAACCGGTAACTCATGGTATTGAGCCAAATCCAAATCGGCAG